CCTCAGCCAGGGGCTCTGGGACCCCACCCTGACCCTGCGGGGTCTCCCTCACACCCAGGAGGGAGGTTTAACCGCCCCCCCACAAATGCAGCCCCCCAAAACCCCCTCAGGAATCTGCCCGCAGCCGGGCACACAGAGGGGGCTCTTCTCTGCCGCCCGGTGGAAATATCCGATTTCTTTCCGGAGCCCAAACGCCCCCGCCGTGGGGCCATCGCTGCCCCCCGATACCAACCGTGCCGTCGGCCCTGTCGACATTGGGATTATGGTTGGGACGGGGCCGGTCCTGCCCCAGGTTTGGGGATGGACTCGTCCCTCCCAGCCCCAGTGCGAGATCTCGCCCACCGGTCGCCGTCTATCGCGCGCACCTCGTGCATCACGGCCCAAAGGATTTGGGATCTCGCGATGAGCGCTGGAAGTCTTCTTGCCCGTCCATGAAATCATGAATTTTCGTTGGGTTTTTTTAACACCTATTTTATATGGTTTTCCCTAGTTGGCGTGAGCGCAGCGACAGGAGCCGGGCGACATGTTTTACATGCATTTACTTGTGAACAAGCGGGGGCCGCTGGCCAAGATATGGCTTGCTGCCCACTGGGAGAAGAAGCTCACAAGAGCTCATATATTTGAATGTAATTTAGAGATGACTATCGAAAAGATCGTCTCGCCGAAGGTACGTAACTAATGCAAGGAGTTTCCAGCTATAGAAATGTCAGTCTTCGCTAGAGGAAAAGCATCTGCACGCAAGGATTATAGACCTTCATTTAGCACCAGCCCTAGACTCCCGGTGGCCCCAGGCAAACTTTTACTATTGGGCTCCCCTTCGCCAGGGATAATGGTAATAATAATTGGACAACAGGAAAAAAAATTACCATTTTCGGGCCCCCTTTCTGTCTGGGTCCATTCGCCCGTGCCTGTGTCTGGGTCTGCCTTCTTACTTGATAAAACCAAATTTGCCCCTCTTGTTTCAATTTAAGCAACTGGTGGCTCTGTCCGTTTTGTCAGGTTTTATTCAGTTTTTTTACTGGGTCAAAACATCCGTTAAGTGGCAAAGTCCGAGTAATACGCTTGCTGTTTTATGCCTGAAGGATGTAGAGTGTATTTCTTACAGCAGGTGAAAAGTACATTCTAGAAAATGCTATTTAGAAAATCCTGCACTCTGGTGTGTATACAGGAACACCTGTCTCAAGAGAGGGTTGAATAGACAGTTGCTTAATCGAACTAACGAAGTGAATAATGAAAGCATTTGGGGTAACACTTTTGCCACTTTCGTAATAAGTAACAAATCTTTAAAAAGGCCTAATCTCCCTTCCTTTTTCTTCAGGATCTTTCCTAGTCCCCTATTCTATCTAGATATGTACATAGTTAAACACACAGAGCAGGGCTAACAGAGACACCAAGATTTTGAGTTAGTGCAAGATTTATCAGCAAAAACTCTTGTTCATTAGAAACTTAGCTGAAGAACACCAAATAGTATCTTCACTCAGGTGGTTTATTTAAAACTGTTTCATTAATAATATCATTAGGATGTACTGCAGTTTAAATAAGTGTTATTGCACGTGTTGACCTGTAGTTTCCTTAGCGTGTGATGTTCTTTTCTTCTCTGGGTAATCTCGTCTCCTGCATCACGGCATCAGTCCGTAGTGCTGGCTGCAGTCAGGAAGTTATTGATTTTACTGGTATAAAGTCCATACATTCTCCCATTTAAAATAGCCAACAATAGTCATGCAGAACTCCAGAATTATCATTATAACGTCCAATACCGCTTTTCCTCTTCAACATACATTACAAAGTTAATTCCTGAACTTGTTTAATCTTAATGGTTTTGCAATATGCATTAAAGGATTTTTTAAAATCATTGCAGGTCAGAATTGCTCTGCGAACCTCAGGGCACCTGCTCTTGGGAGTGGTGCGAATTTATCACCGAAAGACAAAGTACCTCTTGGCAGACTGCAGTGAAGCTTTGGTGAAAATGAAGATGGCCTTTCGTCCAGGTATAGACAGGATTCTGCGTTTGTCTGTCCGTACCTCTTTCAGGTTCCTGTCTTCACCTTTCATTTGAGATATTGCAGTCTGGTACATATTATTGATTCTGACTTCCTGGTGCCTAATGCTGAAGTTTAATGCTTACTTAATTTAACCTTTTCATCTTTTTGGCTTCCTGGTGCCCTTGAGAGTCTGGGCACACACAAGTTATGGTGAGGCAAACAAGCCTGGGGAATAAAATCGCAATAACTACCTATGTGTGCACACCCTAAAGAATACGAAAGCTGTCTTATGGTAAGTTATCTTTTAGTGAAAGGTTGTCTTCTGCTCTCACAATTAGGTGAAGACAGAAGAACCTCAGGTTCTGCTTCCAGCACTGTCACTGCCTGAGAACATGAGCTTGGAGCAAGTTGCTTAACCTACTAGTTTATATATCTGTACAGTGGGGGAAACACTCCCTCCTGGTGCCTGCCTCTCAAGGGTGGTAAAAGGCATCATTAGTTAAAGGCTTCAAAACATTTCCAAACATTGGTAGAAAGGCATCAGATAAGTGCAAAATATATTTTTATTGATAAATAAATATCAAGGTAGCTTGTAGTACGACAAGAACCACATATTTGCAGCTTTGCTTTGTACATTTTCGATGTTGAAAACATTAGCTAGAAAACAGGAAACATTGCAATGTAAACTTAAACAACTTTAAGGTACCTGTATTAGTCACTAGTTGCCAACATTGTTTGTAGCTTTGAAGAGCTGCTCCTGCTTACAGCAGCTTTGGAACATTTCAACACCTCTGCCTTTTTTTTAACAGCCCCATACGTTTTATGTGCACGGCACTAAATATTAAGCTTCTAAACTGTGCGTTAATTAAGGGCTTCATTCCACCTTGGGGGCTCTGTTGACAAACTACTTAAGCTTTGCTCTTATTATTTATGATGGCAACAAGTCCCCTGGATGCATTTACCGTCATATTGGATGGACTTCTTGGTATGGTATCGCTACTCGTGTCTCTATGTTTTGCACTTTTTCCTTAGGACTTGTTGACCTTCCAAAAGAGAACTTTGAAGCGACTTATCACTCCATCACGTTGCCTGAAGACTTCCATGATTTTGACACACCACTACCTGACTTGAAGTAAATGTTTCTTCATGTTTTTATAATAGCATTTTGCCTGACTTTGTGTCCAGAGCTAGAAATGTGTTTTCTTGCTGGTTGCCAGCAAGCAAAGAGCTCAGAGGTTCCATTTGAACAGATAACTCGTTTTTTTTTCTGAATTCCAAGCCGTATATACGTGCCTACAATCACAGGAATTATGTGTCTGTAAAGTTATTCTGGTCTCATTCTATCAGTGAAGACCTTCCCAGTGAAACAGTAGTTTGAACTTAGGTTTCAGAGTATCATCGTGGAATCAGAACTTGTGGTAGAGATGATGTGTTGGTCTTTCATTAGACCAACTAGATTTTTGCAAAAAAAAAAAATTCTTTAATTGCAAGTTTTTGAGTATCATCGTGTAATTTATTTGAATGAAGACTGGAGACAAAAAAAATGCTGTCCACTAGCGAATTGGTAGAACCTGAAGTTGGACCAGATGTTGGTGAGACTTCTAGGGGCAAAAAAGTAGTTTGGATGATGTTATTAAGGGACTTTGCCTACTCTTGAACAAGGAGGCAGAAACTTGAGGGGAGTTCATCTTGCTTGTTGCTCATGAAGTTTCAGGCACTGAAGCCCCAAGGTCTTTTCTCTGTGCATGAAGCTAAATGCTAAATGCTTTTCTCTTGCACATCATGCTTTTGTGATTGGATTATGGTTAGGTGTTGCATAGGCTTCCTCAAAGATGACTTAGATGCTTCAATTAGTAAAGGAGTCTCCTTTCTGTTTGCTTAAAGGTGTCTGTTCTAAGGAACACAACAGCATCTGTTTGTCAGATGCCATACGGTTATCTTTTTAGCGTCTAGACGCAATATGAAGAGTCGTTTTGAATCAATAAAGCTGTAAATGTTTTGCATTCTGACTCTTTAGGGAGACTGCATTTCTTCTCCCAGAAAAGTTGATAGCTGTTGAAGTGTTTGGGGGGCCTTCGAACGTAGCGGTTGTCTCTATCGTTAAACTTAGATACGCAAAGATGGAGGCCCTCTGTATACAGATCGTTCACGTTCCGACTCCCCGCACTTCCAGCTCGTCTTATAATTGGTATATTCTGTTTTTCATTAGTGCCATTGATGTTGCTGAACACTTCAGTTTGAATCAGAGCAGAGTTGAAGACATCACCCTTAGAGAGGACTATGGAAGGGATATACTTCTCTGTGAGGGGAATTTTGGTAAGAAGAGTTGAGAAATTAAATTGTATTTTATATGCAAAAGAACTTACACTGTTAATGATTTATAAAATCCTGCTTAGTTCTGATGTATTATTTAAGCTCTTAAAGCTTATGGTATGAAGGATCTGTTTGCTTTCTATGATGAATCCTCTGCTTATTCTCTTTGAACATGATCCAAAGCCCAGTTCAAGTTCTTTCTCACTTGAATGTTGCCTCTAACCTGAGCTCTGACCCCCCTCAGAAACCCCTAAATCAAGGGTGGAGGTGCTACTCTGCACGTGAGTGGGCTGGCCTGCCATGCAGTATGGACTCGCCTCCTGAGTGTGCCTCATAAGCAGGGATCTTGCTTTTCTCTGATGAAAAAAATCCCCAATTTGGGGGTTAAAAAAAAACCCAAAATGCATATTTTTCTGTGATTAAAATGAAATGCCACTAATATGTATATGTATGTGTGTGTATATGTATTCATATATACATATGTATGTGTGTGTATTATATATATATGTATATGTGTGTATTACACACACTATATATAATGTGTGTGTGGGTGTATATTAGTGGCATTTCATTTTAATCACAGAAAAATGTGGATTTTGGGTTACTTTTTAACCCCCAAAATTGGGGATATTGTTTAATCTGAGAAAATGAGGATCCCTGCTCATAAATCAGCTAGCACAACTGCTTTCCCAGAACAGTGGAAAGCGACCTTAGTGTAAATGAGCATACAACCCAATGCAATTAGTCTATTTGCTAAACTAGCTGAAATTATTCTGCTCTTCATAAAATGCTGAAATAGTGACGGTAACATTGCAACCTTATTTGGATATTTTTTATATACATTTGACATAGCCCATATTGAGGAAAATGGTTAGTCAATACTTAGATGAGAGTGTATATATGTATGTTTTTTCAGGTGAGGAGACCGCAATACTAAGGCGGCATAGCTTCTTTGATGACAGCATACTAATGAGTACTAATAGTCTTTTGGCTGATCACAACTCTTCAAGCCTCACTGGAGACAAATCTAGGCTGTGTGAAGATGCATATATATTTAAACTTGATGGTTTTGGAGATGAAGAGGCTGCTGGGGATATGATTGGTATGTTTTTTTCCATACATTAACAGAATCTAATATAAACTATCCAAGAAGTTCTAAAATGTGATGCTTTTCTAAATGGAAATTATATTTTTATTTAAAACATTTTTGTCTATGATAATCTGGAAGTTTCTATTTACACTTTTAGTGTTGCACTAGTCATGATTATTCATCTGAGTTCATTTATATATTTCCAGATAAAAAAGTTAAAATGGAATTATTGAGTGCATACGAGTCATTTAAAGTTAAAAAAAAAACCCCCATGAAAGTATCTTAAATACAATACCAGTTAAAAGTAGAAGTTGGATTGACAGGAAACCCAAACCTGTTAAGATACAGAAGTGTGCAGTAAGGATAGTTAAAGAACCTTAACTCCGCCCTGTAGTGAAATAATGTATTTCACCATTTTTATAAAAGACGTTCTAGTGTTTGTAGCCCAAAACTCTTGTTTCTCCTTTGCTCTCGTTGTGTCTTGCCTCCTTCCTGCATCCCACTTGTCTTTGCCTGTGTGTGTATAGAGCACATAAACACACACTCATTTTCTCACTTCTCTGTTATCCTCCTCGCCCCTGTTTTCCCCTTCCCATTATGTGCTTTGAGTTGATCTGGTGCAAACAAATATTTAGGGTGATCATTTCTCAAAAATGAAAGTTTTTCCTGCAACAGAAGCTAGTAGATATAATTTTGTTGGTGGGAGCGGGGAAAGAAAACCTGGCAAAAAAGGCACTTTATGTAGTTCTTATTGTTCACAAAAGGGTTGAGGCCAGAATTTCCCTCGGTTCACAACGGCCGCAGCCTTTCAGTGTGTGTGTGTGTGTGTGTGTGTGTGTGTGTGTGTGTGTGTGTGTGTACAGTGGTGTGCACAACAGAGCTGGCTCTGATAAAGTAGTTCTGGTTCTAGACGCAGTATAACTGCAATTGCACAGTGCTGCGCCTGGGGTAACATAGCCTGCTTCTCAGTGGAGCTAACTTAACTATGGCACTGCAAGCATCCGGCATGAAAAATGTCGTATATGAATGATCGTTTGAAATTAGTGCTTGCAATCCATTTCAGTGCATTTTCCTTGGCTCTTGTTTTGTACATTATTGCTCAAGAGAGAACCTTACAGATTTTCTTTTTATATTACTTGCTTTCTGTGCCCTCTGCAAAAGAAAGGCATGACTTGTAAAGGTTTGGAAATGAATGGCAAAGAGCTAGCTTTCATATTAATTACCTGTAGTAGTGCTTGGATTGAACAATTCATGTCACCTCATGCCTGCAATATTAAAAGACCAGCCTGGGGAAGAGTAGTAATTAATGGGTTTAGAATTTACATACAAATGGCCTTTATTAAGTGTTAACAATGCAAATACAAAAATTTGTACTTGGCTTCAACTGATATGTAAATTTTTAACCTAGAAGCACATTTTAAAAAAAAAAAGGTGGCGAGAGGGAAACTCTTAGAATTCTGCTTCTGTGTTCTCCGTTTCTACCTGCATGTTTATTCAAATTAATATTTTCTTTGACAAATAAAACACTATAGGGGTAAGTAGTGTATATGTGAGGTTGTCACCCCATCTCCCCCCCCCCCCCCCCCCCCAATCCATATCACCATAAGACAAAAAGAACTCAGTAGCCTTTGTGCCTGGATTGTTAAATTTTTGTTAAAAATGTTCAAGTTCCATCTAAAAACATATAGCAATAAATATCGTACCAGGGTGTGTTGCTATTTTCTGCTTATTTACCTCACCTAGTTTGTTTACAAACTGCTTATCTAGCAAATGATTTAATTTATAATATGTGCTAATCACTTTTGACATTTTCACATAGTTTTTTTTTTCTAATTATAAAACAGCCTCCAAGTTAGTGTTAGGACTGATTGGACAGGTGCTGCACACTTCCTCTGAGTTCCCAAGTGCCCTCAGTTCCCGTTGATTTCACAGGAGATGCTTAGTTCTGTATCTCCTTCTGAATAATTCATTAGGAAAGATTCTGCTGCCCTATTGCATAAGTACTGTCCTACTTGTTTGTGTCTGAATGGGCTCTGTACATTTCACCTGTTGATCAGAGCAGGTTTGAGTTCTTTATCTGAGACATTTACCTCTCTGTTAATGCAGGTGATGTACTGTAAATTGTAAAATTTGACATGATTGAAATGATGCATTTTATTTTTCAGACGATCTGTTGAAAGCTGAGCAAAATAGCCTAATTAAAGACCTTCTTGATCTGGAAGAAGTTCCTTTCTCACAGGAGCTCCCTGGTGACAGTGCAGTGGGTGAGTGTGTAATGCCTCTGCTCCTTCTCATCACTTAATGAGCTTTTGTCTTTCTTGCTGGTGTGTTCTGTTACCGTTATCTTATTCCTTGCTTTTTTCCTGTCTTGACTTCTCTTTTTCCTTTTTTCTTAATTGCTTAGATCTCAGGTACAATTTGAGCCAATCTTGGAATTCTGTCTGTCACACAACTTTGATAGAAATACTTTTTTGCATTAGACATTTCTTCTGTCTGCCTTCTAGGGATGTTGCAGGCTTAGTTTGACTAGACATCCCAGGAAACTGCTGAAATGAAAAATATTTAAGTAGTACTTTAGAAGTGTTATGTCAGAAACAAAAATATATATTTTTTTCTATTTTAAGACTTAATCTTCCTATTCTAATGCTTAAGCTTCGTGATTGATACCGAGTTTGATTGGTATCAAATCAAATTGGTATAAAATCAAGTTTGATTAATGTGTCCTGTTCCTGAGAAGTTGTTTGCTACATTGCACAGTGATTGTATTTAAATTGGGCCGTGGCTGGCTGTTTCACAGTGCATTCCAGCCATGAAGAGTCACTACATGAAGCAGAAAACCATCCAATGAGTGAGACTGTACTGTTGCCAGATGAAGAGGAAGGGTTTGCACTTGAGCCCATTGATGCTACAGGTCAGAGTTGCATCAATTTTCTGTTAAATATTGCAAAGTGTTTAATACTAAAGAAATTAGCTTACATTATTTTCTTTTCTTCCCTCATTCATTATTGCTGAGAATATTTACCTCCCAGGGTGCATTCACAGCCTTCCCCAATTACTAAAATTAATTTACTACATTTAACTCCTGTTAGCACTGTGCGTCTGCTATGGGGGTAGAGGAGTGAGCTGAATTCTATTCTGGCTCGTCTGCCCTCACTAGCACGGTTTATGGTGTTCCAGTTGCAGCATGTTTATCTTTGATAATGCATCAGTAAATCTACATCCATAGAATGGCAACCTTAATTTTTTAATTTCCTGCTTTTTATTGCTTTGCTCATGGTTATATTGATTTCCCTAAAAATTTGAAAAAGGAACAATACTCTCACGGGTATGTGTATATCTCATTTGGAACTTGCTCAGATATTAGAAGCATAGAGTAGCGTGTGTGTGAGAGCTAATTTACCCTGCTTCTCAACTCCTCAGTGAATGGTGATTAATGTCAATTGATTCAAGACTAAAATTAGAAATCTTCAAGAGACATCATCATTTCAGAAATGAAGGTGTAATTTGTTTCATCCAATGGCCAATTAAAGTTTTGTATTTGTGAGTGTTAGCAAACAGAATAATACCAAGAGAAAGAATTATGAAACCCACAAGCACACTCTCTATATGGACACTGACCTTTAGAAGGCTTCGTTTTGCAGGCTCCCAGCCAAGCGAATTTTCAGGAGGATATGCATATATATGTAGCATATGTAGTATACGCGTGCCCTCTTCCAATCTCCAAATGGTTAAAACACTAATAAAAACCACTGAGTAAAAACTACACTAATAGCAAAATAATTGTTTAAGTACATAAATGATTCCTGGCCTGGTTAACTTCCAATTAAAGTAAACTGCCTTTATATGCGTCTTAGACATACTTTATCATCTGTCCTTTTTAAAATAAGCTTATTCCACTGCTTCTTCAGTCCAGTATTCATAAACATTCCTAAACTAATAATATGTGAACGTAAGAGTATACGGACTTTCCCAGGAACTGTAAAAGTTGTTTTTCCGAAACACTCTCCTGCTTATCAGCATAGCTCTTCAAGTTGACTCTCCTTTTTCCCTGCACTGTATCTCGGTGGGTCAGCAACTTCTCCATTGAATTCCAAGTGTTGGTTTCATGTTTAAGTTTTTAAAACACCAGAACTCATTTTTCTATATTCATAGTGTGACAAGATATTGGAAGAAAAGTTGCTAAATTAGAATCAGTGCAGCTTTATGATTTAGGTATCCAGGTTGTAGCCATTTTGGTCTAGAGAGAAAAGGAATCCGAACTCGTGGTAGAGGCGATATCTTTTATTTGACCAACTAGATTTTTGCAAAGAAAAAAAATAATTTTAACTTTTTATTTTATTTTAATTGTTTTGCAAAAATCTAGTTGGTCTAATAAAAGATATCGCCACTTTATGGTTTAGCTACTGACTCAGGTTGACACAACGCTGAGTAGAAGGTGATGGTTTTTAGTCTCAGGAAGTTACCAGTACACACAGGTAACCAACCAGGAATGTTTTGGGAAGAGTAAAGTGCAGCAAATGGCGCATCAGGGAAAGTTCAGTTTACTTCTGGTCCTTCTGGGATCTACATTAGGAGGTTAGGAACCTTTTCACCCATTCCATCTCAAATCCTTGGCAAAGATTATGTCCTCATCAGATATATAAGGGAAGACAAGCTGCTGCTCAAATTTTGATACCATCATGCCAAACCATAAAAAAATGGAAATAGCATAGTTTACTTCTGTGATACCCAGCACCTCTAGGACAGAGATATGCCTTATAGACGAGCGTCCATCAGCAAAGGAAATAATGTCCCTGTTTTTTAATATTTCTTCTGCTTAGTTTTCACTGGGCGGAAAGAGAAAAGGAAGCGGAAGTTGCTTGTTGATGTAGTCAAGGAGCTCAGCAGTAAAACTATTCAGAAACAGCTTAGCAACTACACAGACACAGAAACTGTGCTGGATCTTGCACCCCCCACAAAAAAGCTAATGAAGTGGAAGAAATCAGGAGGAGTGCATAAACTTCTTTCCCGTGCTACCGAGCCATTGATTAATGTTGAGCTACAAAAGGTACAGATGTATGCCTTTGTATGCTGCTGTTTTACTATAGAAATGATGGAATTATTGTGCATTTAAACCCTGTAATTTTAGGCTTCCTTTTGTGTGCACAGATAACTGTGTCCCCAAAAACTATATGTGCAAATGAAGCTTTATACTACAATTCAGCTGGTTGGATATCTATTTGTACCCACAATTATGTGCTTCAACAATAAGGCCATCTGCATAATTCAGGCACCCCGTGTGTATTCTTGATTTTTACATCTGTGCACCTGATTGATTGCTGGTATGCTGCTATATTATTATTTTTCTTCTTTCTTTCTTTTTTTGTTTGTTTTGAATCCAATCTGTAATTATTACTGGACCACCTTGGCTTTCTGCAATTAATGTTTTCATTTGTAAGAATAATGCTTAAACCTTATGCTTTTTATCCATAGGTCTCAATGTAACAGAAAAATATAAGTACTATAGAGGTTTTCAGGCTGCCAACTAATGCTAGTCTATCATAATTACTGGTCTTATTAGTATAATCTACTTGAGTAGGAATTATGCTATCGGAAACCTGAGCTTTGAACAATGAATTGAGAAAATGAAAACAATTTGTTCTCCCAGGGGGGAAACTAGTACTGTGTTTTAAATATAGAAAGCCAGCAAGATGAGTTATGAAGGAATATATGTAAATTTGACCTGATATTAATACTTTCTAGCAAGATTCTTCTGCGGGAGAGTTTATTATAACAAAAGATGTTATAAGGAAATGTGGTTACAGAAAAAAAAGGTGCTGCATTGTTTGAACTGTCTATAGAAGTATCCCATTTTCATCAAATGATTGTCATTTCATTATATTTGGTCTCTGAAACATAATGATGGGTTGTACCAAATGGGAGTGATGTCAGATAATCAGATTGTTGGTGGTGGCTCCTTTACTTACTGATTAAAATAAAACATGATCTAGTTACAAGTAGAGCATGCTTTTAAAAATACAGAACTGTACTTTAAGCTGTTCTCTGAAGCACAAAAGTCAGTTCTCTTAAGTCAGTCAGAATTCAGAACCCATTGATGGTACAGGGAGCAGCTGCCACCATCCCTCTCTGTCAGCCCTTAGATGAAAGACTGGCTCTGGAGCAGTCTTCCAGCAGAATGGAAATCAAGTCAGTGCACTATAGCATTGTCACAAGAGCAGCTTCTGCCAGATGCATCCTGAGGCATGGCAGAAGGTGGAAACATTATGTAGATCTATATACAGCAGCATGCACTTTTTTTTAAATCAGAAGTTTGTAGTATTTCTTTGTTTACAATTTTATTTCAAATATATACATTTCAATTGCTTTCCTTTAAAAATAGTCCATTACACACGCACGCACACACACCTATAATTTCTTTAGCATTGTGTAGCATTATACTTATTTGTATATAACTGCCCTCCTTTAAAAATAGTCCGAGAGACAGAGAGAGAGAGAGGACTATTTTTAAAGGTTGGTTCTTTATAGTCCATTACACACACACACACACACACACACACACACACACACACACACACACACAATCTCTTTAGCACTGTGTAGCATTATACATATGTGTATATAACTGCCCTCCTTTAAAAATAGTCCTACATATATATATATATATATATATAACATATACATATATATATTTAGTCCTATATAACTATTATTAAAGGAGGGGAGTTATATACACACATATATATATATATATAATACTACACAGTACTAAAGAGATTATATGTGTGTGTGTGCACGTAATGGACTATAAAGAACCAACCTTTAAAAATAGTCCTCTCTCTCTCTTTTATATATATATGTGTGTGTGTGTGTGTGTGTGTGTGTGTGTGTGTGTGTGTATATATATATGAGAGAGGACTATTTTTAAAGGAGGGCAGTTAAAATCCGTGCGATGAGACAGTACTTGAATTAAATCTAATGATTTATATTTTCAAAGCAGTGCAGGTGGATGTCGCTATGTATCTTTAGAGAGTGAAATCCTAAGCACTGCTTTGAATATTTTGCTTCATTTTAGTTTTTCATTGTATTCATGTGTTAATTATAAGATGCTGCTATATATTACATTTTATAATAATGCATTTGTAAGCATGCTGTTGTCTTGCAATGTCATATCTATTTCCAGCCACATCCACCTCCCTTAGTATGTTATGTGGAACAAGATCCTTCTCAGCATTGCCATACCGTTCTACTAAGGGGGTTTGCCTGGAAAACTAGGTCAGATGTATGCTCAGTGGGATCTTTCAGGTCTGGATCTCAGTGCTTTCGTTCTTGAGAGAGAAATATTAGTGGCTTCAGGACTCTGTTACCTGCCTCCTCATTCGGGGTCAGTGATGAGATAAGGACTGGGGAGGCAAACTTGGGTGAGAAGACCCAGGGATAGGCATAATTCCACTTCCTCCCCCATCTCCCCAAAGCTACACTACCTTTACTGGGTCATTTCTCCCTTTAAGAGAGTTTGATGGAGCAGGAACAGCTAAGGGAGGCTCTGGAGGAGGATGCTGAAATTCAAGAAAAGGGACCTCAGGCAGATCATTCAAATCCCGTGAAACCACATGCATCCCTTAAATCTGTAGGGTTTAGGACAGACCCTCAGTCTGCTCCACATGGGCAAATATCATGCCTACATAATGGCATTATGTGTAAAACTTCCACATTGAAAACCTCACAGAGGTTTTTTTTTTCTTCTGCATCTCCCCTTCCTAGGAGGTTTAATAATGGGAGAGGTGACCCAGCCTGCTGTTGGGTAAGACATTTCCTTACTGCCTGCCAGGGGGCTTTTTCCTCAGAGGGTCTCTGCAACTGTTATGGACACCTAAGTCAGTGTTGCTTAGTTCTTAATTCATATAAAAATTGCCCATCGCTTCTTTATTCCCTGCATTTTGCCATTAGAACTTGAAGTTATTCTGGAAATAGAAGACACAAGTTTTTGTTTTTACAGTTATTTGCAAACTGCTTCAAGTATCATGGCTTTAAGACTGGAAGCAAGAATATAGAAATGGGATCTGAAGAACCAGAGAGAGAGCAAGATACTAAAGGTGACATTTTAATTTTGTCTGATTTTATCACTTGCCGTCACACATTTTAAAAGAAACATACACATTTTATTTAGCATTTCAGTCATGCAGAGAATCTGAGTTTTGTGTCTGCACAAACAAGAAAGCCAAGAAGCTTAACTTCTAAAAAAAGGAGTACTTGAATCAGTTTCTTACAGCAATTACAGAGTCCTAAAGAAAAATATATTTGGTTTGGTAAATATGCTGCTGTTCTATTATTCCTCACATTTAAAAATCAGAGGGCAATGTGTCTTACTTGATTTGCTATTACTTGACTCACTTCTGCTCCTGTGGCAATTAAGTGTGCATGATCTATCACTGGTTTTATGAATTCACAAGTCCACAGAAATTGGCTTCTAAGAAAGTTCTTATATTTTTCAAAGATTGTTGGGGTGGATTTTTCCTTTTTCAGAAAGGCAGTCAAACTTTTTTTTTTCTTATTGATGCAGAGACATTGGTAATTGAAGAGCCACTGACTGAAGACCTGAGTTATTCGCAAGATGCAGCTCACGGAGGACCCCTGGGACCCATAATGGATGATTCATTTGTGTCGACGACGTTACAGAACAGTAGAAATGGGACTACTAATGAAAAGACAGTAAGTATTTTCAATAAACGTAAAAAACCAGTGTGTGTGTGTATGTATTATTACATAATTTATATGAATGTCCCATTTAAAAAGAGTTAATAAATGAGTAACAGATGTTAAAAGCATGCTACAGCTATATCTTGTGTAGCACAAAAGAGCATATATTATAGATGGTTTTGAGACATTTAATAGAAGGTGTAACAAACAATTTCGCTGGACACAATAACAATGACATAAACATATTAAAAATCTGTTTAATCTCTCGTAAATACTTTATAAACAGAATCATCACATACAGTGCAACCTTTTTACTTGTACAGAAAAGACACTTAATAGGGGCATCTTTATCAAGGATGGGGTGGGATTTATTTCTTTTGCTGGAAAATAAAGCGCTTATTGCTAAAATAATAAATCATCCGTTTCTTCCACCTTTATTCTGGTTACTCTACAAGGCCACCATTTGCAGAGATGATATTATTTATCTTCTGTAAGTATAATAAAATTGGGTTTAACTGTATTGGAAAAGTATAAATTCTGAACCCAATATTGTGTCCGTACAAAGCAGTGATTGGGTCTGTGTCATGAGGAAGTGTCTTCCTGCCTGGTTTTTGTTATAGCATGGGAATCAAAATGTGGTTGCTTATCTGTAATATATCAGTAATATAGTCTTAAAATAATTTTGTAGAAAAATCAGCATAGTGACCACTTGAGGCAGAAATACGGAACTGAGAATAATATTGTCTCTTTGAAGACTGCTACTAACTGTCTGATTTTTCCCAACTTTGAATAGCAGGATATGTTGTCTGCTTTGTCTGGGGCCTGTTCACTGGAAAGTGAGATTCAGCAAGCTGAATTAACCACGGTATGTGCGTCAATAAGAAAGTTGTCACCACTGGCATTTATGTTCTCGCATAGGAATTTTTAGAGATTTGGAACTGACTGTTTTGTTAATTTACCAGTAGTTTTATTGTATAAAACAGTACTGTAATCTTTATTTTCTGAATATTTCACATACCCAATCTGATTTAATCACAGTATTTAAAAATGTCCAATATGCTACAAGCAACATCTTGCAAAATGATAAAGGCACAATGTTCTTTTTAGAAAACCAAATAGGAAAATTGTAACCAAAAAAGGGAAAATGGATTAAAATAACCGTGTTTGGCTCGTGACAGGTTTTTGGGAAGGGCTCCATCAGTGGTTGATCAGTTTTGAAGTTTTACGGAAACAGAAATCAAATCAGACCAAACCATGGGAGATATCCTCCCACCCCCCTTCATGTATAAACTTTGTATGTTAGAAAGTGAACAAGTTATAAGCTTTATACATTTTTAAAATAGCAGTATCCCATATCTCTTTCTGTAAGAGGGAGGATGAAGACATTAAAAACAATTTTCCCAAAAAGTTAAAATAAAAATTACCTTTTAAAACACAGAATTTCTGACCACTAAGTCTCTCCTGTAGATGTTAAAGTAGGCACACAAAAGAAACCCTGCTCCAACTATTTCCACATTGAAGCATAATGGAGCTTGCCATAGAATGAACTCTTTGCTCTAGACTCTGAGAGATTTTCATTTTAAAAAAGGTTTCTGACCTTAATCATTGTGAAGGAATTAAAAATTGAACCAAATACTAAATCGACAGCGGTGAATGGCATGAACCTTGATAGCCCATTCACCTTGATAGCTCATTAACTCCATAATCTAAAACTGAAATCTTCAATGTCAGCTTTGGCCTGGAATCAGTTGCGAACTAGTTAAAAGTTTCTTATACTATTATTGACCAGAAGTAAACCCCTACTCTGCAGTTAACCCCACTGAAGTCACTGGGGTTACTTGCAGAGTAAGCAAAATGCCATTAATCGCACTCTGTCCCTATTATAGCGGAAAAATCTACCCAATGTTTATATCCCTCAGTTCCTGGTATGACTCCGCAAATGCCAGAAACCAAACTTTTCCACAGCTGCCAAAGCATACAGCTTCATCCTTGACAAATCTGTGATGGGTTAGGCATTATCCAAACAAATAACACAGAAGCCACTGCATATAAAAGAAAAAAAAAATTGCACCCTGAACTCAAGTTTACAGGAAGTCAGAAACTATTTATTTTGGCCTATTCATTTTTATTTGACCAAATTTTTAACATTTTGGTGTATGATTTTACGTGGTGTATTTAATGCTCACAGTCTCCTATGCAGGAGCTAATAAGGAATGATCAAGACAGCGAAGAAAAAAGGTGGAGCAAAAGAACTCTTCAGATATTAAACACTCTGCAGGTAGGATGCATTTACGTGTTTTTAAAGCAATTCTGTATTTAAACATTGTGCCTGCTATGCATATATCTATTGACATCGGTGCACGCATGGCCTACAAAATCATGATGTATTTTATTCTGTTTCTAGTATTTGCTGTGCTTAAGGGAAGGGGAGGAATCACAGTAAATTACAACATGATGGACAGTAAATCTACAGCCCTGCAAAGTCTTTGACGTGTTCTTATTTTATGCACCCATTAGTCGCATTGAGTTGCATTGAGCTAACCGGCATATGTAAATTTAAGCATATGTTTAAGGCTGTGCAAGATCAAAGCCAGACTAGACTTTTATGAAAGCCACTGCATCGTCTGTTGATACTAGTATTGCCAGCCCCAAGCATCCAAAACCATATGATTAGTTTAAAATTACAATATTTTAAAAAAATAACATTGAGAATACACTTGCGTTTCCAACCGTAAAGGATAGAGCCTTGCTTCAAGCTGAAAGGGTTTTCAGTGCAATCCCTTGATTCCCAGCACCTGGGATTTAAGAAAACCCCAAACTTCCTGAGGCCGGCAATAACATTGTAGTTGAGAGCAATGCTGTCACTAAATTTTGTAAAGCACTTTAACAGACACTAGATCAAGTTAAAATTCAGGGAGAAGATCCCCTCTTAAAGCCTTGATCTTGCAAGCATGTATTTATGCACAGAAGTGTTTGCAACATCTGTCCTTTGGTTGGGATATTGAGAGACATCGTTTTATTAGTTGACCTAACTATAATTTTCTTTTCTTTTCTTTTTGCCGCGTAGCACGTCAGCAATTCAGGAGTGAAGTCCTTCAGCTTGCTGGAGCTCTGTCAGAGCAATGACCGGAAACGAGTCGCCGCCAAATTTTACAGTTTTCTTGTTCTAAAGAAACAGTTGGCTCTTGAGCTTTCTCAGAGTGCCCCTTATGCTGATATAATAGCAAGTATGGGTCCAAAGTTCAATACTATATGAAACCATCAATAACGATGAACTGCATTGTATGCTTATTGTTCAAAAAATCCCGAGAGACAGTATGGAGGCCACACGGCTTGTGGTGATTAGACTCCGCACCCGTTACACTTAGTGCTTCCTCTCAGGACTGCATAGAAACTAAAATTGTGTAGATATACATATATATTCCATGGTTATTAGTAGTCAAGATATTTATCATCAGCTTTGTTTCTCGGGGGGTTCAAACAAATATCATTAATAGTTAAATATGTTGTTAATGAAGAATAGCTTAAAATGGGCATTCAACATAGGTGAGTTTTAAATTTCCTGTTAATTTTATTTATACAAAATCCTTCAAAAGTTGAGTAAAACTGGCCTGGAGTCCAATATTGGGGCTACGGAATATACTTTTTAAAAAAGTTGAGCCATAATCCTTCGCAGTGGGTTACTTTTCAAAACTAAATAAATATTCAATCCAGATTTCTTAAGATAAATTAATACATTTGAATGTTTCCCATGGTATTATATTGCTATACACACTCATATTTGATGGCTGTGAAATCTTGTTGACTATTGCAAATATTCAATTTATGCATGTCTGACAATTTCAGGCTCTATCATGAGGTACAGTACATTCTGCCTGCTTCATAGCAGAAAGCCACAGGTATTTCTTTTTTAGCTTAATTTTGATCTGAAAGCACTGACAAAGCACACTCTTTTACTCTGGTAATAAAGTGATACCTTACACAGCCGTTATTGGAAACAACTGCCTGTCTTAAAATTAAAACATTCTTAGAAGTTATATTCAGATTTTTATATTTTAAGGTCTTTATGCCAGCCCCAAAATATTCATACAGCATCAGGGCGATGCATAGGACTATGCAATGTTGCTCACTAAGTATTTTACCCAAAAATAAAACTTTCTTAGAAGAGATATTTATTCTTTAAATTATGTGTTGGCCTGTTTACAATTCTGTGTTGATGTATTGTGTTAAATGGATGTATCTTTAGCTCATTGCAACATCACCTGTCCTCTAGGATGCTCTGTCACTTTTATTTCCATGTTGTACACTGAAGTTTTCTGCATAGATAAATCGGTTGTGTTGAGTATGCTGAAATGTGAGGGGGCATTATATATTAAACATTAAGCATACATTTCCTTAGCTTGTTTAGTATTTGTTCTAAAGAGTCAAAAGTAGCAGATACTTAACAGAGCCAGGCTGTGCTTTTTTTGGTTTGGCATCTCCTTGGATTCCCTGCATGTTTACATTCTCCGATAAAGTGTTTCTACACTTCATTTTCAGAGCGGCCCTTACAGTTGACATGCTCTGGGGAAGTATTCTGGAGAAAATGTCTTTTAAACTGTCAGTAATGGAGAAAGTAAGACTGAACAAATGCTACAGGCTCCTATTTTAACCTATCACGTGTACCTGTAATGAAAACGTGAATTAAATACCACACTTATTGAAATGACACAATGAGCTGCCACGCAGTCTCCTAGAATGGGTTGTGTATCGCAGCAGAAGTGTAAGTTAGAGGCCCAGAAAGGTGGAAATAAACTGAAAATTAGGAAGGGGAGAGCTTGTTTGCACCAGCTCAGCAGATCCCAGTGGGCCATGTACCTTGTCCTTCAGACAGATGCATTTTAGAAAATAATGTAATATAGACTCCAGTTCGGATCACGAGGATCTCGGATCTGTTCCTCTGTTCTCGTAAAATGGCCCTCTGTACCCAGGGAAGAGTTCAGGAGATCCCTGTGCCATCTATTAATCTGTGTTTCAGGCTGCAGACATCTTATTTGTTTTGCAGCAAGGCAGGCTTGACATTGAACGAGACACAGAGACAAACCTCATCCTGCTGAGCTCGCAATCCAGAAGGTAACCAGAGAGGAGACAGGCTATTGTGGGGAATCCAGAGGAGGGAATAACTCGGGGTTGGTTGGGTTTGCTTTGAAACTGTTCTGTTGCTATGAACTCCCAATCCGTGACCATTGCAAGAGAGGAGGTTGACAGCTCGTTCCAAAAGGGCTTTTGATCCGGTCTTTTAGCTTTATTGTGCAGGTGTGACTGAAGGTATCATTTGAAGACCTTGGGGTTTGATGCATGTTACCAAGGCTGTAATTTGCCCCACAAGGCTCTTTTATTGCAAGGGGAAGAGAAGAAAGAAGGTTTAGAAGGCTAGGATTTAGGAAATGATCTGTTTATTTGTAAATTAGGCACATTTTGTATGGAGCCCTTGTGATGCCACAAAAATGAAACTCCTTTTACCCTTGCTCTCCAAGAGTGTATTTCAGTTTAAGAACTGGTCTGAGAATCCATGATACATAAATACAGGGAATAATCTTCTAATTGCAGGTGCTGTGCTGTGCTTATGTAAAGTCCTATTGATTTCAGTGGATGCAGCAATGCACCTGGGCATTGTCAGGTGTAGGATCGGAGACACAGATATAGATTTCCATCTGATGCAATTGCTCGGTTTTCATTTGGGTGAATGTCCCTATGAGTTCCACTGCTGTGTGCAGCTTTTTAAATAGCCATTTTGGGGCTTTAGCTGTACACGGCATGTCCTCCAGAGGCCATCAGTTCCTTCCTCCCACCCGTGGCTGTGAGAAGTTTCTGCAGCATTCAGATCCCTGCGTGCTCTCTGCTTTTTCCCATACTTTATTTATTAGTTGTTGGCTGTAGTTAGTTGGAGTCTGTTGGCACAAAGCTGAGACGGGGAAAAGGAGGTGCATGTCAGCACCCATGGGATGTGCAGCGCTATCAAAACCCCAGAGGTGAGACCTCCAGGAACTGATTAACCTTTGTCCACCCTCTAAGCCCCTGGATATGGGGTGCCAGGGGGCCTGCAGAGTGCAGGTCAAACCCCAAAAGACCCTGCTATTCAAACAGGGAGTGATCTCCCACACTCAAGGTGCAAGTGGAGGTTGAAGAACAGTTATGGACACTATATGTAGAAAAAACACATTAGTTCTGGGGCGGGCAACCATTCTCTACTTTATTAGACATGAATGGGCATTTAAAATAATAAACCTTTTTCCATACATATCTTAGTTTACACATTTCTGGATGGGGAAAAATGCAAATTGCAATCTTCTGACAAGGTTTGCAAGCAGTTGACAAGCCGGTGCTGGGGCATATACAATCTAACTTCAAAGAAAGCCTGTATTGCCTTTAAAAACAAAACAAAACGCTGAGCTGTGCCCCCCAGGCTTGTCCACAGGATGAACTTCCGACTGGTGAGTCAAAGATCGTATCATTATGTGTAGTAAGTCCGTGCTTCACTGGATACCACACGCCAGCCACAGAGAGTAATAGATGGTGGTTAGTAAAACAGTTGAAGTCAGCTTCCAGGCTAAGTATAAATCCGAGCCCTGATTCTTACGCCGTGTCCCTGTGGGTGAGCTCTGTACCTGCGTGGATGCGTTTTCAGGGCTGGGGCCTTAGTACTGAGTCATAAATATTGCTATTTATAAGCTCGACAGTGCAGCGATTGGCGTCAAGGTTTAGGAAAGGCTTGCCGAGCAAAGGCACATTAGTTTTCCTGATGCAGATTTCATGAGTAATTCTACATACCCATAACTTACCATTACGACTTACCAAGGACTGCATGCATGTAGATGTGTAAAGTGAGGCATGCATGCGTGTATAGGTGCGTGTGCAAGTGAGCATGTCTATGTTTACATGAGATTTGCCTAATAACATTATACCTTAAGTCCTCTCAGGTATTCCAGATCAATTGTCAGATTACTCTCTGTGAAAAACACAGCCCCAGGTTTTTCTGGGACCTAAGAGACCCAAATCTTCCTTTCTAGAAGAAGCAACATTTTTTCTACTCATGAAATCAGCAGGAGACGTGTCATCCCAGTTTGGCTTGGCCTGGGATTGTGATTAAGACTGGGTTTTTTCCCCGCCCCTCTTCTCTTTGAGGGCTTGCCTGTTCATTCATTTAAGAGTCTGAGTATCAATTTGTGGTGAAGGAAGAGTTGGGTTTTCAAAATGCAGAGAGCAAGCTAGTGACAGGGCCAGCCATTAAAAAGCCAAACCAAACCAAATCAAAAAGTACGCCTTCATTTCCAGAGCCCTTTTATTTGCTATCTTATGTAACTGGGGGAAAGTTAACTGCATCTGAAAGAGCTTCATGGCAATACCTCTGTAAAACCCTTACAGCCTGTTTTATAGATATTTTATTACTGTAAAATACCTATAAATGGAGCCCTTACTATGGGAGGCTGAGGGCAGAGGCATGCAGGGTGTCACATAAACAGAGAAAATGAGTCTCCGAGGAGAAAAATTAGGGCCAGAGATGCAGGCCCCCGGAAACAGCAGGGAGCTTTGATGCAACAGGGAAGGAGAGGGCTCGGATACTTAGAGAGGTCAGATCTAGACTTTCCCAGGACCTGCACTATTACAACACCATGATGTTCTTACCAGTGGGCTGAGTTTTGTGGTGCATGTAAAACAGCACACATTGGGGAGTTAATGAATGTGTTTTGCAGTTGTGGAGTGATTAGGGAACTCTGATTAGTTGAGCAAATGCAATATTTGCAGCTCTCGTTCTGTTTGTTTTAACGGAGATGCCTGCATGCTAAATAATTTAGGGAGCAGTCACATATTTATACATATCAAAGGGAACCTATGCGGGATAGCGTGAGGAATAGCAGGAGCTTGGATACGGAGATAGCAGACAAAGGAATCTGCATCTCCAGTGTCCACAAAGATGCCAAAGATGCTCCTTGTGCCTGATGAAGGGTGTTTATACCGAAAGCTTGCAAAGAACAATTTTCCCAACTCTTTAGTTGGTCTGATAAAAGAGATCAGCATCTAGCCAAAGAACCTACTTTGCCTTTTCCCTATTACAGGAGCAGAGAGGGCATCCCCTGTCCACAAATGTGGGCTATTTCCAAGCCCCCAGGCATTGCTTCATGCAGTTATGTTTCAATCCTGCAGGTTTTGAATCCACGGCATGTTTCAAGCCAGCCCCGGAGCTGCCTGCATCTCCATGCAGGGCCCAGATGGCAAAACTCCTGCGTTCAGACGTGCAGAGCAGCATCCAGGACTGCGCAGGGTGGAGCCTGGGAACCGGTGCAGCGCTCCCAGCTGCCGGGAAGGGGCTGTCCCGGGCACGGGCGTCCCTCGTCCCCTTCCCCGGAGCAGCCCGGTCCTGGGGGCAAAGGAAGGGCCGAGCCCGAGCATCCCCAGCCATGCATCTCTCTCCGCGGCAGGTAAGATGCGCTCAGCCCCGGGGGATGCTTCTGGATGCACGTTGCTATAGAAACTCTGCTGGCGTGTGTGACATTTTCCGGGTGGCTTTTTTTTAATTTCCCCCCCCTCTCCCCCCTTCTTTGTTCGCCTGCCAGCCGCTGCCGCCGGCCCCCGCTGCTGATTGAGCTGCCCGCTGCCTCCCTGCTGCCGCCGGAGCCCCACGCTGTAAGCTGCTAAGCCCTTCTCGGGGCTGGAGGCATCCTCCTGGGGTCGGGGCTGCAGGGCCGGGATGCCCCGGGGTGGGTCCCACTCCTCCCCCCGCTTCCAGGCCCCACTACGCAGCTGCAGGCGGGCACAGCCCTGCCCAGCAGCGCCAGCCCCGCCGGCCCGGAGCATCCTGGCAGCATGGCAGCTGGAGCAGGTGATGGAGGGCACGGAGGGAGGCAGAGGGGCAGGGGGGTGCAAGCATGCAGAGGGGCCGGCTGTAACCCGCTCTCCTCCCCTGCTCGCTGCCAGGGTGCTGAGCCAGCCGGCTGCCTGCTGCAATACCGCAGTGCTGCTGCATTGCCCCAAGGAAGAGGCCAGCTCCGCCGGGCCCCGCTGGGCACCCCCAGGTGAGCACCGCCGGGCACCCCCGGGTGGGCACCAGCGGCACCCGGGGAAATGCTGCGTCACCCTGGGGCTGGGCGAGGCTGCGGTGCGGCACGCGGGGCGGCAGGGGTTAAATGTGACTCATGTCCATCCGCTCCAGAACTAAAACTTACGGCTAATGCATGTGATTTAGCACAATCCCCCCCCTTTCCTTCCCTGCCTCCCCCCTTCTGCAAGGAGCTGCGGCTCCGCAGTGAGAAGCAGCAGGCGCTGGTGAGGCTGTGGCACGCTGGGGAGAGGCTGGGGTCACGCCGGCACCATGCCTGGGTGCACCGGTGTCCAGTACCGGCCCCGGACTCCTCACCTGGGCAGGGCCAGCCAGGCCGCTGGAGGGTTTATTATTCGGTGATGTTTGCACTGCAGCTAAAAGGGGATGCTGCCCCCGCCTCGCTCCCGGCTGGGCCAGACAGACGAGCGTGCTGCTTTCGGTCTCTCCCCACCCAAGGTCAGTGCCGCCTGGCCATTGCCAAGCAATCTGCTGCTGTGCATTTGTCAAGCCGGCACAGCACCGCTGCCGCGGGTCATGCCCAGCTGGAGGAATGACCTTGCTCCAGAGGGTGCAAAGAACCTCTTTCCACGTCTCGGGGGTTGCTCCCCGGTCCTCGAGGGTCTCCATCTTGAGCTCGGCAGGGAGCGATGCCTCCGTTTCCAGGGAGCAGGGCAGACGGCTGCCCTGGTTTTGCACAAGGAGCAGAAAGGGGCCTCGAGTGATCCCGGGGTGGGGTGGGGTGGGGCTCCTGCTGATATTTTGGGGGCTTTGGCCTGCTCCCGTGGCAGGCGGGTTTCTCTTCCCGTTACCCCGGCAGAATCTCGTCTCTCCGCTCTTCAGTCCCAAACCTTGCCCCCGCCACGCTCGGCCAAGCACTGGGCTGGGGTCGGCCATGGCATCTGGGTCTGGTCTAAGTGCTTGGGGCTGGGTGCCAAGAAATCCTGTCGTCTTTCCGCTCCCGCTGTTTGCCCATGTCAGGATTGGGGCCCTCGGGGACTGCATTGTGGACCAGGCTAGGAAACAAGGACCCAGCAGAGCTGGGGGGCAGCTTTTCGCAGAGTATCCCTGCAGAGTAGCACTGGGAGGAGTGGGCGAACTGGGCCTTTGTGTGCCCAGGGGGAAGAGGCAAGGGACAGGCTCTCGCCCCGTGTTTCCCAGTCCTCTTGGAGGGCTTGCAGCGAAGCTTTCTTGACCCACCACCAAGTGCTGCCTTCCTTTTGGGGGTCCCAGCCCTCCCGCCCTCGAGTCCAGGAGCTGTTTGGAAAAGCTGCTCAGCCCTGCCCTGCTATTCCCTGTCGGCCTCTGTCTCTCCGGCAGGATCTCAGCTGCAAGCTCAGCATTTCGCAGCAAGTAAAAATAATCCTGTTTCACTACCTGTGTCACGACGCCTTTGGCAGAGACAGCTTCAGCTGCTGGGGCGACTCCCAAAAGCAGCAGCCCTGATGGTTCCTGCAGAGCCAGGCTCCCCCAACCCGGGAAAGGCTTTGAATGCCGTGCTGCAGCCCTCAACAGGGCTTGCCCAAGCCCTTCTCGATGTCCCCGGAGCCCGCGGTGGCGAACGCTTCTGATACAAGGCCCTGGAAGAGCCTGAAGCCAAGGAGCCCCCCAGGATAAATCTGTTGCTGTCAGCTGAGGGAATTGCTTGCAGGCTCTGGGTCCTGCCATCCCCTCCCTAAAATCAGATGTTTAAAAAAAATATAAATTCTGTGCTTGACCAACACCTGTTGCAGGAGGAGGGGGGAAAGCATGAATCCCCATTCCCACAGCAGGGCTCGTTCCTGCTGCTAACCCTGGGCTGGAGCACGGCAGGCGAGGCAGAGTCCTGGTGCTTGCAATAGCACCCGGAGGCTGACCGATGCTGCCCTGCTCGATGTCTGTCCGTGGATACTCGAGCTACCCCTCTCCCAGGCAAAGGTCCATCTGTCTGAGGACGGGGACTGGGGTTATCGGGTTGTCCTGCAGCTGGCAGTTCAAGGTGGCCACCCAAGTACCTGAGGTAGAAGCAGCCAAGTATTTAGCAGCTGCAAGGAACTTGGTTTTAAGCAACAAACCCAAGACCGGCACTTCCATCCAGGGCAAACTCAGCTCCTGGCTGAGATCCACCGGTCTCGGGCAGCGTTGGCGGTTGCACCGTAAATGTCTGGTTTCAGACCAAAGGAGCCAGGCCTTTGCCAAGCCGCTGTCTAGAGGCACAGGAGAGCCCACCTTCAGGTCCTTGTGCCACCCTGTGTCAGCCAGGGCTGGGCACCTGGCAGCTGTTCCTGGCCACACCCCAGAAGATAGGTGGATGGAAATTTGGAGAGCCCCAAATCCAGGGTCCGGTCTCTCTAGAGGCCCTACCCAGGCAGCCTCTGCGTTCAGCCGTGTTTGCAGGACGCTGGCTCTAACATCTGTGCTGCCTTCCCCTGAATACGTTGCTGCTTGCAATGCTGATATATGGGGATTTAACATCCAGCCTCAAATCAGGTCCGAGGGGGTTTTGGGGAGATGTCTTCTTTTTAACACGAAGCATAACCTACAGCAGCATAGCAAAGCCTCCCGAAAACTGCATTGGGTTGTTTTTTTTTTCTTTAAACAGCCATTTCAGACACAAATCTGCTGGGCCTCTCCCATGTACCCACTCATTCTAAGAGAATATCCCAGCTCCCACTTTGAGCGACCTGGGGATGAGGGATGCCGGGGACTCTCCTGAGGAGCTGGGCATAGAGGGTTACGTAGAAATGCTCCGTTCGCATGCTCTGTGCTGCCGGGTCCGAAACCTGGTTGTGCCCAGGCAGGTGTCCCTGGTGCTGCTGCCACGTCAAAGGGTCGTGGGTCTTTTTGAGCCCCGTGGGGCATCCCCCTAGCACGGCAGAGGCAGGTCTGCAGCCAGCGGCACCCAAGGGACTGATGTGGCTAGCCACACGCCCAGCTGCTTTGGGTTCCCCAAGCCCTGTCACAGCTGTGGGTGGATTGGGACCAGCCTTTGGCCCAAACCCAGAGCAGGATTTGAACTCAGGCTCATGGAAACCCAACGAGATGCCCTCACCACCACGCTGTTGCTGCTGTCATAGAAGTTCAGCTGGTTCCTCCGTGCTCTTCCTCCCCGTGTCTGCTGCAGAGAGCTGAGGCCCCGTGGCGATACGGCATTGCCATGACAGCTTTTCCAGGGGATTTCCTCGCCTTCCTCAGCATCTCCAGGGCCACCTTTATTTTGTTCCCAGAGACGCCTCCAGCATCACCGTGACAGATAAATGCTATTAGGCGCTTGCTTGCTCTGTTGCATCCCCAGACTGCCAGGCCCCGAACTGTGCCCAGCAGCGGCTTGTTCTTGAGGAAGAAGGTGCTTCCCTACCTCCCAGCAGTTTGAGATCAGCTTTTCCCTGATGCCTGAGATGGACCTGCCCTTTCTCAGGAGTTGTCTTTGGTTGTCTTTGGTTTTTTTACTGCAGCTCTTCACGTCCCACATAAACACCCCGTGTCGTTTGCTGAGTCCGCAGCAGAATGAAATGCTCTCATGGGTATTAGAGGGGAACCAGGCAGGCAGCTTGAAGGTCTGCCAAGATCCTCTTCACAGGGGAGGTCTCTTTTGCCTCTGGCAAATGTCTTGACCCATTTCAGAGCCTCTCCTTGCTTTGGAGAGATCCTAGTTGGGGTGCCCCAAACCCATCCCAGATGCCAGCATGCTACTGCTGTGGCATTCGAATAGGGCTCTGCTCCTGCACCTTTTCCACTGTAACATCTGGGAGGGTTTTGGATGGAGGTTGCCAGGTTTTCTTGTTTCTTCTTGGTTGCTACAATGTCTTGTGCAGAGCTCTGTGATTTTATAATCAGTGGGGCTGTTCCTACCTCCCTTGGGGTGATAAGGGTGATCCACGATGTGCTGGCAGATGCTGGAAACCTGCTGTCCTAGATTTTGGCATCTGACCTCAAATCAGGAAGAGGGGCAGGGTCACTCCCCGTCGTCCATGGGGAGGTAGCGACAGATCTTGAGGCTTTTGTACAACCCAACTCCTGTGCCCTTGAGCAAAGGGGCCAAACCGACCGAGTGTGACGGCTGCAGGAGGGCAAGATACTCTGGCGACAACGGCCAACTTCACGCTGTTCAGTAGCGGCTCCATTGGTAGACAGCAGGGAAGAGGCTGTGGATGCTCCACTCGGACGTGCTCGAAACCCACAGAACGGATGGCACAAGTCCAACCTTTTGGGGCAAAAAGACCTGAGGATGGCGTAGGGGCACTTGGTAAGAACCAGTGACTAATGGAAATGACACGGAAACAGCACCAGTCTCCCTTTCCTTCCATCTTGGCAGCACCCAGTCCCTCCCACAGCCACAGCTGGGTGCCAGGGGATGTTGCCAGCACTGCGATTGCAAACGTAACGCCAATGCAAGCCTGAGACGATCCACTGTAAATGGCCCCGTGCCCCCAGCCCTCCGGCACGCCTTGAGGCAGTTTTGACCAGCGTTTCCCTCTGTTCGCTTTGGCGTGGGGGCTTGTGAGCGTGGCCGTGGAAGGATGACCGTCTCGGCAGACTGGATCCTGGTGATGGATTCTGGCTATTCAGACCTTCCACCATGCAGCCCGCCCCGTGGGGACCCCACACCAGGAATTATCACCCTCCTTTTCATCCCAGCCCGGTGACCAGAAAGTTTCTGCTCTTGAATGTCACCTGGAGGCTCTTTCTTCTTCAGCCACGTTTCACGGCGCGGTCACGTTGCCTCTCTGCTACTTGGGGCACGTCAGTTATCTGAGAGCTCGAATTGCGGGGAGAGCCCCATTTTGGTGCCTTTGGGCTGTCCTGGGTGTTGTTCGGCACCGGCAGGCCTGGGGGTCAACC